TCTCCAAAGATAATGCTTGCAAACCAAACCTTCTGAATTGGCCATTCCTAGGATGAAAAACAGCAACAGAGAGGTGTTGGTGTTGCAGAGGAAAAAAGGCAATCTGAGACAGAGGCCATAAACAAAATTTAAGTTACCCTGTGACCTTGTCTCCCTCAAAAGCAAGCGCCTTAGTTTAATGGCCCATTCTTAAATTCCTTGGGATTATGACTGACTCACTGGCAAGGCAGTTTATGGGTACATTAGTCACAAATCTGAGCTTCAGCTGTCACTCACACTTCACACCTGAGCTCCAGAGCACATGGCTCAGCCTGTGCTTGTTTCCTTTCCACCTCACTCCATCCTGAACTGCACGAAGGGCACGAGCCAGAGCCCTGGCAGTGATTACTGCCCTTAGCATGCTCCAGCTACCCTCAAGCGTGTTTTCCTCAGCATTAACTTCAGTTGCCTCCTTAAGACCCAGAACAAAAGACCATTACAGCAATCATTTAATTTTAAAAACAGATCATAGCTTTATTAGAAGTCTCATCACTCATAGTTTTTGGAAGAGCACAGTGACTCTGGCAAGAGTTCCCACCTCGTGAGGCCAGACCCCCAGAGCTGTGCTGGCAACCTAGCAGGAGTACAAGGCTCCTGTTTTTCTAAACATAGCAGCCTGCTAACTTGCCTGGATTCACAGTTGCAATGCATTCAGAAGGCACATCAAGAGTTAGGTTGTTTCATGTCACTTTTTAATCTCTCCAGACACCTTATCCTAACCCCCAGCCGAGGCAGATATCGGCCCTGAGCAGCATCAGAGTCAGGGAGATAAGAGGCATGGAGGAGCTGGCAAGGCTGCATCCCCACAGCAGCTCCATTCCCACTGCTCCCCTCCTTCACCTCTGCAGCAGAGGTGACACCTCGGGCTCTTCAGCTCCATGAAAAAACTCCTCTAAACAAGGTCTTTGAAAGCAGGAAGGAAAGGCAACCAGCCTTGCAAAGCCTGAGGGCAACACAAAGCTTTTATGAGAGTGTAAATCTGAACTGCAGCCTTAAAAGTGGGAAATTCACATTAAAACCCCAGGGGAAGTGTCAGAACATAATTCTGAGAGGTAAAGAAAATAAGACAACTGGTCCATACTCCAAGACCTGCTGGTATGGAACAGAGGTTACACTGAGATAACTGCCATCCCTGAAAACACAGTCAGGTATCAGACTCATTAGCCTTGAGTGGCTTGTAAATGAGCCAACCCCAGAGCAGAAAAAGCAGCTAGAGATGGGCCCTTCTTCATCACCTGTCACCCACAAAATGCCTGATTTATTTCTTTAAGCAATCCAAGGCTAGGTGAACACCTGCTTATGAATTTTGTTGGCACAAGTCTAACGTTTGACTCTCGTTTGCAAGGGCCTGAGTCAATCCCATTGAAGTCACACTGCTCTGAGATCAGTATCTGCTTGAGTGCAAACATTAAAAAAAAAAAAGAAATGTATCATTAAAAACAATGAGGTAAAACATTGCCTCACCTCAAATACCATCCCTTCACACACTCAGAGGATAACTCCACTATACCCAGGCAAGCACCTGAATCTTATTCAGAGGCTTTCATCCAAGTACTTAATTAAGCATGTTGTCCAACTCCAGGATTAAGGATAAGTGAGGCTCAGTAAATCTTTACTAGGTCACACCTCCACCTGGTTCCACCCAGCAGGAAGATGTGATTTTTCAGATTTGATTTTCTGGCTCTGCAGTCTAAAAAGAACTCTGCCTCCAAAATGGTTACAGAAGACACAAGCATTGGTTGCAGACTGAGGAGGTCTGGCATCGCCACCCTCCTGGAGACTGTACCATGGCTGGAGAAGTCAGGGAATCAGAGTTCAGCAGACGTGCCAGGTTCCTCAGATTTCCACTGGAATTCTCTCTTCTGTGCTCCTAGCACTGATTTATCCTCACCAGTGCCAGACAGTCAATTCCAGATCACTTTTAGGAGTTCTTTCCACAGGAATACCTTCCACAGCCAGGATCCTAGTCCAAGAGATTCTCACCCAGGACCCCTCAATGAGGTGTCGAGTGCCCATTAGTTTTCCCAGGTGTGTTCCCACTCCTCACACTTGCCCAGGAACCACACTTTTTCAACATTTTCCTCCTGACAAAGCGACCTATTTCCACCATGAACACCAAAGACACCACGTACATGGCCAGGCCTCCAGCCTTGAGGAGCCAGCTGGGATGAGGGGATGTCACCATGGCGTGCATGATCAGAGCTCCTCCCCCGATGCGCAGCCCCAGGAAGAGGAACACGAAGAAGAAATCCACCACCTCTCCCAGCCAAGTGTGGTAACATCCCATTTCCCGCAGAAACCAGCGGGTCTGGAGCAGTGGGTTGGTGATCTCACTAACAAAGACAACAGCGTTGACTTCTGTAGCAGACTTCCCAAGGCCCAGCACCACGATCATGCCACAGATGCTGAGCGTGTGGTGGAACAGCATTAGGATCCCCTCTGTCTGGAAATACAGGCACCAGCCCAGGTCGAAGAGGAAGTACCCCAAGGTCAGGGACAGCACATGGATCTGAAGAGAGGTGTTTGATGAACCTAAAAATGAAAGATGTACATACACCTAAGGTCTCATTTAAGGCATCATTCTACAGTATGGAGCAATACAGGTTATGAGTATGCCTCTTTCCTCCTCATTTTCCAGCCTTATCCTATAGGCCACACGCCAGGCTGGAAGCTGGGATGTCTGGTTGTGCTTTCCCTTCACCCTTCATCCTGCCCAGCAGACCCAAAATGGACATCCCCTCCTGCCACACTGGTGTTTCTGTTTTCCTCTCCACCCCTTTCAGAAAGCAGGGATGGAAAGCCTGACCTCTATCAGCAAAATAATTTGAGACTTAATGATGGAAAGCAGCAAACAAAACACTACAGCCAAATGCTGGGAGCTATTACATCCTTAAGGATGTAATAGTCTATTCTCTTAGTCTATTCTCAACATGTTGCTACATCTAATGCTGCAATAAACTCAAGCTGCCAGCCTTAAAAATTTCAATACATATGTGAACAAAACAAAAAAGAGAATAAAATATTAACAGCAGGAAGTGGCAAGGGCTGGAGAAGAAGCAACAGACTTAAACAAAACCCTGCCCCAAACCCACCCCAAAACCATACACACAGAAAGCCATCAGCCCCCCACTCCAGCAGCACCTAAACCCAAGATATTCACATTGCATGACACAGACGTGTGTCAGGGTAAGGCTCCAAACGTACCTGCATGGGTTAGAGGCCAGGGGCCATCCAAGAGAGCAACGTAACCAGAGAGGCAGGTGACAATCACCCCATGCAGCAGGGTGACCAAACGACAGCTCCACTCGTGGGAACGGTGCTTGTTCCAGCAGCAGAAGCAGGTGTAGAGAAACAGCCAGGCAAGGAAGCTGCAGGTCACCTGGAGGAGGATGGAAACCATCCTGCTGGACACAGAGCAAGGAGGTTATGAGCACACCTCTCCTCTCAGCAAGTGGTGTTCACCCAGATCACCTGCCTCAGCATCCAGCCCATCCGTGGAAACCCGGGGGCAGGAGGGGGAACCCAACCAACCCACCCCACCAAAACGAGCACGAGCAAAACAAACCAACCAAACCAAACCGTGCCTTGTACCCTTCAAACCAGCCCGGTGCTCCCCTGAGC